GCTCTCCAAAATGGATGTGCCAATTTATTCATAGACCAGCAATTATGAAAGTTTCTTCATGGGCTTTCTAACAAACTGGTGGATGTGAAATGGAATCTAATTATGGCTTTAATTTGTATTTTCCTAATTAGTTATGAGGTTGAACATTAGTTTGCGCAGATGTTTATTGGCCTTTCAGCTTTTTTTCCCTATGATTTCTTGTTCTTGGCCATCTACTGGGTTTGTCTTTTTAAAATTGATTTGTTGGAATTTTTTATATGTTATGGATATAGCAGATATCATCTCAGTTCATACCTTCTTTTTACTCTTCTTTTTTTTAAAGAGGAGTGTCTTTTTAAATAGAAATTCGACATTTTAATGAGGTTTTTTTTTTTGTCATTGTGCTTTTGTTGTATTTTTTAAGAAATCCTTCCCTACATTGGGATCTTAAAAGATATTCTCCTGTATAGGGAGAGCAATCATATGGCCTGCAAAACCTAAAATATTTCCTTTCTGGACCTTTATAGAGAATTTGTTGACACTTGCTCTAAAGAGTCTCTTGAGAATTTTTTTTCCTTTTGAAACATAATGAGAATCTTGTTAGAAAATATTTGATTTAAATGTCAGCCAATAATAAGTTAAGATAGTTTTTATGAAGTTAATTTTATAGCTTAGGAATATTTTGTAATTATATTCAGAAAATTGTGTACATAGAGAACTAACTTTAAACAGTTCTTTAATTCATGAGTAAAACTAGTATTGAAAAACTCCAAAAACTACACTTTATAGAACAATTAAAAAGTAAGCACTCTTTCTTTGTCAATGAGATAAGGTGACAATTATCATTGTCTTCTACTTGGCTTGATATGTCAGGAATTCTAATGTTTCTTGAATGAATTAATGAATGAATGAGATAGTACATGTAAAGTGCTTAGCCAGGGATAGCCTTAATAAATGATAGTTATCATTAATAATGAATATATCAGGATATGAGTTTGTCACTCAAAACTAAAGTTGCCCAAATATTAGTATAACGAATGATTTTTCTTTTGGCCTTGAAAAATAACAAATTATCCTGTACTTTTCCTTTTAAAAGCTAACTTTTTTATTTTGAAGTAACTTTTCGATATGTGAAGAACTTCACATTAGGACATTAGTTAATCATCTGTTAGATAAAATGTGGTGCAAATGTGGTTTGGGGACATTAGTCGTAGTCTAGCAATTAAAAAAATTTAAACTTATAGTTATGTGCAAAACTCTATGCTCAATGAATGAGTTATATAAAGAGAAGTAAGTCAGTTTTTGTCCTAAAGGAATTTACAGTGTGGTTGAAAGACAATATATGCACATATGGAAAGTTGTGGAAAAGTACAAATTACTGTATTATTGGCCTAGTTTTCCCCTTATTTCATACAAATAAGCTTTTTCTTGGTCTCTTTTCCTCTCTTCTTCTTTATATACTTATTTTTCATGTTAAGTATACCCTTTATGCCTGTTTTTAGAATTCATTTCATAGTCTTCTTTTAGAAGCTCCCCTGATTTATGAATTAGCAGCATAACTTCTCTGGCAATGAAATAGTTTCTAACTATTCCTTTGTCATTTTCTATTTCTAAACATATTTAATCACCATGCTCATTTTTACTTTTCAAGTACTTAGGTATAGTAATTTTGTTGTTATGGGAAGAGGTTGGAGAAAGTTATGGAACTTCAGAGGTAGATATTGTAATATCTTAATCTACTTGAACTTCTAATTATGGCTTTGAAAGGAATACTGGCAAGGAAGCAAGAGTTGACCTTTTTTTCAAGATCAAATCTTATAATCTTTCTTCATCCTTTCGAGAAATTTAAATATACGTCTCTTTATAGTATGACAAGAGAGGGAATAGATAGAAACTGTTAGACAATGGAACATTTTCTAAAACTCCTTGGTTACTGACCTTTTAAGAACAGTTTTGGCTACTATAGATTTGAAATGTACTTTTAAACAATTCTCTATGGAAATAATACAGCTATCACACCCACATGTATTTCTTATATTTCTCTTTAAATATTAATAGATGTATGCTATTATTTGGGTTGGGTTTTCTTGCCTTTTGTGGAAGTGAAAGAATTTTAGACATTTTTTAGCTATGGGAGAAGAATCCATCTCTTAAAGAAGTTTGTTCTACCACTTAGGCCAGCCACTTATAGGTCTTAAAGGTTGCAGGTTTGGGGGAGCCCGTGTGTTTTATCTTTCTTAAAGTGTCTTATCTATCTTTTAAAGTATTAGCCTTTAATTAAATTGGAGGATATTATGAAATCCTCACATTGCTATTTTCAAGATTCTTTCTCTAGTTTTCTTATACCATTGAAAGTTGCTGATTTGCGTACATATAATTCTCTTTTGTTATTAAATAAACGTCTTTTTGAAACTTCTGTTCTGTTGCCACATTTAGTGTTTTCCATCCTCAAATATGATTGTACCAAATCCATTAAATGGAAACTTCAATAGAAGATCACTCCTGAATAAATAATTTCTTTTAAATATAACTTTAGAAAAAGAATCAACTTTCTTTAATTTCCTTTTTCTACTCTGCTTGCCCAACCACCCATTGAAAAACCATATTCTTGAGAAGTCAGCTTTAAGTTCATAGGTGGTATAATTATTATTTCAAGCACTTTAAATCTTAAAAAAAAGTTTAATATAAATTAGTCATAGTTTATAATTTTCTCATCATGGAATGAAAAGCAAATTTAAAGTACCTAAATACTGCTCTAGTGGGAAAAATTTTCTGAAACTAGTTCTTTTGTTTTTGTTAGTACAGCTACTAGAATAACATTTTAAGATAAGCACATTCTTTATTTAAATTATTAGTGCCAAATTCATCCTTTTAAAAAATTAAAACATTTGAATACAAAGCAACAAATCATAAAGCTGTATAATAGCATCTCTTTATTTGAAAAAAAATGTATGGAAGGTATATTTATACATACATGAAAGTCTGCAAGTTATTTTGAATTATTTCTGGTTGGAGGGCCTGATTTATTTTGCATCTTTCTGTATTGTTTGGATTTTTGGTCAGGAAAAAATGTGGAATTAAATGGTATAGGTGATAAAGTTTTAAGTGGAATTGATGTTGGTGTTACATCAAAAAGTAGATGATCTCTCTAAGCCTTGGGAAAAGACCATTTTAGTGTGTTTTATGCTTGGATTAAGATATCCATATGGTATATAACAAAGCATTGGACCCGAGCATTCTAATATTCAGAGTGAATTTAACTGTATCATAGGGAAGAGAAATAGTATAATCGAATGAAAAGATTGAAGGTATGAAAAAGTAAACTAATTCTGCTACCTAGAGTTACCTTAATTATTTTAGTATGTTAATTAATTAATTAATGTGATCATCGCAGAGACCAAAAAGGAATTCAGTCAGAAATACCATGATATAATTTACATCCCATTTTCTGTGTGACCATAAATTGTTAGATATTGCAGCATATGTAACGTAAACCACATGTCAGCTGTTTCCTGCCTCACTGTTGACAAGAGCTCCATTCATAACTCTTCTTTTTATCCTTTCAGTGAATAAGTAATTATTCAATATAGAAGGCAGGATATTTGGAACTAGCTATTTAATGTGGCAGCACTCTGTAATGAAATCTGCTGTTAATGGCAACCTGAGAAGGGAATGTAACAATTCCAGCATGGCTGTAACTTTATCTTTGACTGACTATTTATTTGGCACATCAGTGAACCTTTTATCCCAGTGAGTGACAGTTCCAGAAGGGTCACATTTACATCCATTCTATCATGTATTGTAATATTTAATGGTGGACAAGGTTGAGCGAGACTGGGAGTAATTTGAACTTGCTTTTCCACTGAGTTGAGGCTAAAAGACAGTTTGATCTCCAGTATTGTGGTGTAACATGCTATGACTTAGCATTTGTTTATGAAGGCTAATCTTACTGATTATAATTTTTTTAAAAACCCTCAGTTAAGTGCTATAATCATTCTACTAAACTAAAACTCTTCAATATAAATTCTCTTAAGCTTCTCTGCTACTTAGCTTTTTCCCTCATCAGTGACCACTTCTATAGACTAACCATTTTACAGTATTTCTCTTGAAAGAGGCTACATTCTGTCTCATGTAGTAATAGAGGTTGTGTTACGTGGTAGTTATTAAGAACCCATGAGTTCTAATATATAACATTAAACTTTTACTTTCAAGAGTTTAGTAACAGGAGAGAAAAAATCAGGTAAATATTAGACTGTATTCCTGATAGTCCAAATAGTGTGTGTGTTTAAGGAGACATTTATATAACTATTTCAGTTATGAAACTGAATTATGAGTAAAATTTACCAGAGAAGCTATCTGAATGATAATTTTACTGATGGTTTTACATTCTGTGGTAATTGAATTTTATACATACTTGTTCCATATAAGCAACCTTATTAAATGTTAATAATTTGCATTCATTTTTATACCTTTGCTAGAGAATAGTTTTCCCTTCTTTACCTGTTGTTTAGTGATGCTTTCGATTCAACTTGATATTTCTATTCTTTTGTAAGCTATACTTAAAATAGTTCTTAATGTTTTCATATATCATAAGATATTTGATTGGGCTATGCTGTGAACAAAAATAGCACTATCAACTCTAAACTGCAATATGATAAGTTCACCTAAGCAAAAATTAAAGTTGACCTCAATTTTGCCTTATTATTTTTATAATTTTGAGAGGAAAGTTAAAATGTACTTAAAATATTTGAAATTTGAAAGTTGGAGTGGTATGTTAGAAACCAGTGCAAATATGGAAACATCATTTATAACTTTTAAAAGTGAAAGAGAACCAATTTGAAATGGAATTTGTAGTTTTTTCTTTAATGGAAAATTTTAAATATCTTGAAATTTCTCTTTATTTGGCAGTTATGATTTATTACTTACGGGTTCGGATTCTGTGAGAAGTTTGATAACATTTTTATGGTAGTCCAGACATTAGTTATCTTCCTTTTTTTTCTTTCTTTTTTTTTTTTGTACAGCTCTCTGGTCATTGTTCTAGGTGCTATTGTTCTACTAAACAAGGAAACGGTCAAGATTCTTCAAATGCCATTAAGAAGGATCAGGGGGCAAAATCCAAGATACCAAAAATATATTTTGGGACACGTACACACAAGCAGATTGCTCAGATTACTAGAGAGCTCCGGAGGACAGCATACTCAGGGGTCCCAATGACTATTCTTTCCAGCAGGGATCATACTTGTGTCCATCCTGAAGTAGTAGGTAACTTCAATAGAAATGAAAAGTGCATGGAATTGCTGGATGGAAAAAATGTGAGTAAAGTTATTTTGTTTCAGAGAAAAAAATAAGGCTAAAAAGATTTAAATTACTCAATTTTTTAATGTGTTCATTTTGTGTTTTATGTATTTCAGTGATAAATTATGAAAATCAAATTAATTGTTCACATTGATATTTTTTGAAAAATAATTTAACCGTAAGAAAATTTTTATTTAAGTTTAAAGTTATGTATGGGCTTTTGTCCTAAAGATTGGAGGTATTTAATTTCTTGAAATTAATTTCCATTTTAATCAGATGTCTTCTTACTTCTAAGTTCTTCTACCAAAAATAGTCAAATATGGTTGATGTCATATGAGGAAATAAAAGTATTTAAATGATTTAGTTTAATTAGATCTAGTTAATATATTTTATGTATTTAAAAATTCCAAAGGAAAATAGTTTAGGCTCTCTCTTTAAGCAAATTTTAAAGTGCTTTTTAATGGAATGAGAAATATAATGATTATCCTATCTCCTAATTCTGGTTAACACAAGCTTCTCTTTCCAAAAAACATTATGAATTATTAACTTCAAAGATATGTCATTGGTAGTTTTAAAATTTTCCAGATAAATCTTGAATACATGAATTGGAGCTAGGTAGAAATAGAGAAGTCTTTTTTACCAAAGACATATGAATTTTAAATAATTTTTTGCCAAAGTAGTCTGTGTACCTGTTTGATAACTACTTTACTCTAAAATGGAAGTTACAAGTCTGGAATTATACCTAGAAATTATTGATGAACCATACATAGAGAGTATATAAAATGACCAATGATATTTTAATACATTCTGAATGTTGTATAGCTTTCACTAGTGTTTTGTCACAGAGTTGGTTCTACACAAAGAGCTATGAGCTATTGCCCCTAGAGTTTCATTTAATTGATATATCACCTACCATATAATGTAAATAAGTTATTTTAATTATGCTTTTTTTCTCAATGCTTTCTTTTATTAGATGGAAATTTATCAAGCTTTATTTGGGGATATTCAAAAGATGCTTCCAATAGATATTCAAACATGTGAATATGAAGTATAAGTACTAAGGAACTTCAGTGGAAAAACTTAAGTAACTTGTTCAGAGCCAGGAAGAAAATACAGATTATTGAATCAAAACCATTGTTGAAATTCTATTTGTATTTATTTACGTGTAAGTTATTTTTAACAAACTGAGGAACTATGCAGTCTCTTCACTCTGTATATTTAAAAAGTTCTCTTTAAGGAGAGATGAAAATATTAAAAAGTCAAGTGCTAAAAAAAATAGAGAAAAGGCTCTTCATGGTAAAACCTCAGAAATTTTATGCTTAAGTGGACTTCTTTCTGTAAGTGGCTAATTGATCTACTGGATTCCTCAAATTCTTGAAATTTGTTTTTTGTCTATGCAGGAAAACTTGCTGGCATTGTCATCTTTTTATTGTTTTTGGGAAAATGATAACATAATTTATTATTTATTTGTTATCATTGTCAAAAGACTGTGCATTAAAAGCATATAGTCTTTCATACAACTAAAAAAAAAGCAAAAAGCCTTATTTTGTGTAATCCTCTAGAATCCTGCAGTGCTGATTATTTTTTGATTGATCTTCACTGTCATGAGTTTGAATCCTGTAAAAGTAAAAAGTAATTTTCATTGGCATTTAGTTTCTGTTTTAAAGTAAACAAATCTTTTGTTTTTTAATATTAGCAATATAAATAATTGAAGATACTTACATGTAGTTATTTATCTTAACCTAATTCTACCTCAGAATTCTTAGCTCATAGGCATACATGAACATTCTTTTTCTTGTTCCCAAGCCCTCAAGGTAATTTGGTATTGTAATGAGGGCCAATTACAAAGTCACTATAGGTGTCTGTGTTTACTATGGCTGAATCGCCAAAGCAAAATGATAGATAACTGACAGTTTGAGTGTAAAAGAGTTTAAAGTGTGATAACGCTTCAATTGACAGACTCCCCTCAGGGTTATGTTACACTGCTAAAATGGATGAGCTTTTCTGGTTTTGCTATCAGCCTGACAAGAGTGTCATTCTAAGTGCCCTTAAAGTGTAAACTTTCTGATTTTTTGGCTTGATCCAAAGGCACATGTGTTTTTGTTCACTGTTTTACTAAAATGCTCTTACACTGAAAAAGCAATGCACTTATTTGTTAAAAGTTAATTTTATTTCAGTTAAGAAAAAACAATCTTAACTAGCCCCAGAAATAATTCTAAAAAATTATTTTAGGTATGGAAGAATATCTATTTTTGTTAAGATGAGATTTAACAGTTTCTAACTTAGACTCAAAAGTTACCTACCTTGGTGATCATTTTGTACAAATATAAGTTTTCAGAATAGTACAGAAGATATTAGGAATGAAGAAATGCTGAATATATTATTAAACTCAATTTACATCAAAATCATAGTGAAAAATACTTAGTACCTCTCCACCTGTCTCTGGACTCCCAAATTATAAAATTTTAGAGCTGGAAGGAACCTTAGAAATTATAGTCAGTGGGTCAGAGGAATCTTAAAAGACTTCTGGTTCAACTACTCTTTTGATGCCTACTCACATGAAAAAAAATGAGCCCTGAGGTTTGCCCAGTATCAGACAACTAATTAGCAAGAAAGGAGGCAAGTTTTCTGACTCTTAGCCATTGCTCTTTGGATTATTCTAGGAATAAAAATAACAGATGGCATATGGTGTGAGGAAGTTAACATAGCATGAAAGGTAAAAAAAGAATAGTAGAGGTTAGACAAAGTAAGTGAAAATAAAAATGAACTAAATAAAGAAGGTTGGGTGAGCCCTTCTTCCACATTTTTATTTTTAATATCTTGGAGGATCAGCAAGTGGCTTCCCTTAACATGGCTGAATACAAAGCTTTAGAAGAACCAGTGGTCCTCAGCTGATCATGCCTTGTCCTTGGATTTGCTGACATTCTTTTAAAGGTTATGAAGCTTTTATGCTTTACTCCATTTCTAGCAATTTCTAGGTACTTTTGTGTATGTAATGATCTATATATGTTTTGAAAACATAGGTTTGCCTTTTGGATAGTTTAGTTAAATATACATATATGTTTGCCATTTGGTTCATAGTTGAAAATACATGTATACATATATAAAGCACATATATATGTAATAGTTTTTCACTTGTTAAGAACAGCAAACTGGAAAATATAAGTATTAGATTTCAAAATCACACTTAATTTTTTTTATTAGTACATAGAATTAATGAAAATAAAAATAACCCATTATTTTACCACTTAGTCTCAAATGACGATTGAAAAACAAAAGTAATAACATACATGTGGTTAGAAAATGCAGAATTATAGAAAGGCATAAAATGGAAAGAGATCTCTCTTTCCCGTTCTTCCCACTCCCTTAACCCTTCAAGGAAACTACAGTAAAGTTTTATGTATATTCTTCCAAAATATTTAAAATATGTATTTGCTGTAATATATGTGTATATATTCTGTGCTTAAACACGCTAGCACAGAGATAAATCCAACTCGTTTTTTAAGGGCTATATCTTTTGTGTGAATTTACCATAATTTAAAATATCCTCTCTTGGTAGACATTTGCTTTATTTCCAGTTTTTTGGCTATTAAACAGTATATATAATATATATATGTAATACATATTCACATTAATGGTGAAGTTTAAAATTTTGATAGTTATTGACAAATTGCTTATGTCCTTTACTAATAATGCCTATTTATACTCCTACTAACTTTATACATTTTAAATGGGATATGACACATATTTGCTAGGGCTGAGTTTTATCAAATATCTCATTTTTTTCATTAGTATATGTTAATAGAATTTTTTTACTTCCAATAATAGAATGGCAAAGGACAATTAGTATATTAAAGAAGAGATGTAAATTACTCTTGAAACTTGTTAGAGACTTCACATAATATTATGCCAAACCTTGCTAGAAAGTTTAAAAAATACAATCAAAACAAAAAGATTCCATTTTTTACCTTTAAAATAGGCTAAGATAATATTAGTGTTGATAAAGGTATGGGAAAAGAGTAATGTAAAATAATATACACTTTCTGGAGGATAAATTGATAGTATCATGTTCAAGAAATTTAGAAACTTAAAAATACTTAATACTCTCTGATCCCATAATGCCATTTCTAAAATGTATACTAAGAAAATGTTTAGAAATGGACATAAAAATTATCATTGCAGCATTATTTATAAAGCAAAAATTGGTAACAGTCTTATTATTCAATAATAATGAAACTGGTTCATCAACTGGTATATCAATTCAGTGTACATATATGAGAAACAATGAAAAAATCCTTAGTAATGTGAGAATATTTTTTATAGGGGTTTTAATAAAATAGGCTTAGAGAAAAAAATAATCTCAGTTTTGTAAAACAATGTTTATTTATTGTGGCTAGATTGTTAATAATTCTCAATGACTGGGGAAAATTTGCTTTCTTCTCATTATTTTAATATTGGGTCACATTGTAAAGATATATCCATAAACTACATATATAAAGAGAAGAAATAGGAAATGAAATACATCAAAATGTTAATAGTACATTTTTTGTGTGTGAAGAAATTATAGCTAATTTAGGTTCTCTTGGTATTCTTTTGTATTTTCCAAATATTTTATGGTGAGCACTGTTATTTTATTTTTTCCCCTAGGATG